TTTCTAATCATCCTAGTTGTCAAGTCTCCTCTGTGCATTCAATAAGTGGTTCTGATCAGTGGAGTACGTTATCCCTATCATCTAGAACAACTCATATACCTACATCTCAATCTGTTACGGAAAATTCTGTTCATAATCAACTAACATCACTCATTGAAAAATTTGAACCCAGCTCGAATAAAGGAGTTGGTTTATATGCTAGCACAAAACATGAAAAGTGTACCCCTTTAGATAATGATTCCCAAGAAAAAGGTAAAAGTTTTGGTTCTTCAAAGATGGAATTGATCTGTGGTCGTCCCAATATAAACAAACGGAAAGTAGTTGGCCAATCACGTTCCTCTTCTGTTGGTGCTCAGTTGCAGCGCTCTCCCGCTAAAAGATGGTTAGTCAAACCACCACAAATTATAAGAAATCTTCAAGTCGATCAAAATCCTTCAATATGTGCACACAATAATACCACTCGTATACGTTCGCCAGTAATTCCAAATGCTACCTCATCCATATTGAACGCGAACTATGGGACCATTTTAGGGAAGAATACGTCTCCACAACAATATCATCATCATTATTTCTATTATTATTATGACAATCAACTCGATGCAAACAATCTAAATAAACCACCTAGTGCATCATGGGTGGCCAAAGAGAATATAAGTGCTCTTGGTAGAAATTCGCCATCTTATTTTACTAATTCGAACTCCAATTCATTGGTTAGTAACTCTCTACCCACAAGCAACATATCACCTATTCTTTCAGGAAGAATGTGTCAACGGTTAAATACTCATCCAATTCCAAGACAAAGCAGCTTGCAATTTCTATCTGACGATTTTAGATCTTCCAAGGCGGAGTCAACTTCACTTCTTTTCTCTGGAATGTTAGGATCACGTCTACCTATGGCTTCACAATCCACTTATCAGATTATATCCAGCGAGTCCCATGGGCGATACCTTAACCGAAACATTTTCCAACATCCACTTGTATTCAGTAACTCAACGCTAAGAGACACTGGTACATTGATAAAGAAAGGTGAACATCCTAAACATACACACAGATCAGTGTCACAACCTCCTAAATTACGAGATTGGCTATCTTTTGAAACAGAATTGTGAAGATACACCTCATGGTACTAATGCATATCAACAGAAATATCGAGATCTATTTATGTTCCTAAACTTAGTTCCAACTTACCTTTGTCTTTCGATGCTTGCATCAGCATTTTGTTGTTAGGGCGATTTTATTGATCATCTTCAAATGCTCACATTCATTTCTAGTCTTTCCATTCTCCATACAAAATGCATAACCTACAAAAGCTTTCAGTAACTACTCTTAAATATGTTTATTGGTAATCAATTGGGTTACTTCTGTACATACTAGTGTAAATTATGGTCTTCATTGTAATTTATGCCCTAACAGTTTTATTTGAAGTCAGTTACCTAGTTGTATTATTGTTTTATTAGTCAAGTCTTGAATTTTTGGATGATTTTTAAAAATAATCTTTCAACGAATTCATGTTAGGTTCCAGAAAATAAAATATTTTTAAGAATCCGTCTTTTGTGACTGCACATTATTAAATTTCGCATCTTGGATAAGTGTTTCACCATGTTAGCTGCAGTTTAATATGAAGGGGGAGAATTGTACTCTAGTTACACCCAAAGATAAGTATAAGTCTTGGAAATGTTATAAAAATGTAATCTTCAAACAGGGTATTCAACACCTTGGTGACTTTCAGTTCCACACCGATGACAGTTCCGAACAAGACCATGTGAAAAGGTTGAAACTAAGTAAATTCAAATGAACTAAAACATCATAAACACTTTAACTTACCCAATGAGTTTTTTTGAGCATTGACTTCTGATTTGCTCAAAAGCAGTAACAATGCGGATAATCCGAATTTCACATCGTATTACTCGTTTAGTTTTGCTGCTGTATTTTATACAAAGCTTTTTACTGACATTGTCTTACGCAACTGATTTCTACTTCAGCGACATACGTTACTTAGATTTTATTTGTTTATTGAGTCTTCTTACCCTAGGCATTTTTGATATTAGAATGACTCCTAAAATTGTTTTGGCTTGATGTTTTCGCATTCAGAAATATAGTTTATAATGCGTCAAACGGATGTATGAAAACAGTAATATTTTACTGGTAAAGTATGCGGTCGAAAAAAGTGATGATCGGCTTTTGGTGCATTAAAGGGATTCGCTTTCATTCCAACAGTAAATTACTTTCTCTACATCTCATATTTTGTGAATGTATGGTCCCTACCGTTTATGAAATAACAAGTGTTATTGTGGTTTAAATCTGCGTAGTACATTTACTAGTTCAGTTGGGTCTGTCCATTAGCAATATTTTCCAGTTTTTTGTTGAACAGGATTAAGTAAAAGGGTTATAAGTGAGACTATTTAGCTACTGTGGTATATTGAGATTCATGTATTGGGTTAGTGAAGTCATTGTATACCACCGGATCCTATGACAGACTTTTAACTAAGTTCTGAAAAATCGGAAGCGTAAAATTTCCAGGTGTCCTTACATGTAGTCTGTATGGGTAAATGCATACAATATCAGCTTTTAAAGAATAACTGGCTGTTATCTTGCCAAAAATCGCCTTAGTAAATCTCCAAATACTATACCGTTCAGAATATGGTTATAATTTTCCCTTATCGTGCATAGTGTATCTTTTGCCTTCACTTGTTTAGTTTCTAATAAGGCCAAGAATATGTATCCAGTGGATGACCGCATCATTGAACCGTGATTATTTATAGACATCTACTTGTAATCTAATATAGGCAGAGGTTGGCATATGACATGTACTTGTTTCTAGCCATTATGTGAATACAGCTCCTGTTACCTCTGTATTAAAGGTCCCACTCTTATCAGGAGCTATACATTACACTTACAATTATCGCCTACCTTGATTTAAAACTAAGAAAGTCCCTTGTAATTTAAGATATGAATAAAATAAACTCAGTTGACACCGATCAGGTGGTTTTAACGGATGAAAAGAAAAATGACGAGTACGAGTCATTTTTATGCATGGGATCGTAGTGTTTATGAAGTAAATAACAATACTGTATCTGAAGCTATAGAGTCATATGATGGGAGGTAGTTAGAATCAGTCGATTTAGGGTTATGGGTGCTGGAAAATCCAGGTGAATGGAAAACACAAGTCTTGGAAACTAGGTGAATCATTTTAATCGAAATACAATTATTTAAATTGAATTCGTCCTAAGACATCGTATGTAAAAATCAGCTCCATAAATATGAGCTCCTAGTAATCTAGCTATAAAGAGGTGAATGCACAATCCTAACACTCAGTGACGGTGATGAGATATCAATTAAGTTGATTATTTGGTAGGTTCAACATAATTCCTAAAAGTATTGGAGCATTAGACTATCCATTAATGAAGTGTATAGTCACTGCTTGCACACTTTATTTAAATCCTGAAGTCTTGGTGCATTAGTGATAGAAAATCTCAAGTTAATGGTCTGATTCATTGAATCGAACTTGTTGGTGAAAGATGTTACCACTGAATAGCCCGAGAGCAATAGAAGAAAGCAATTTCCTGGTCGCACTTTTCCGAAATCAACCTTGAACCCGACCAATCTCCCGCGTTTTTTCTCGAATCGTTATCTAAGCCTGGTGGTATTGTTATCACTAGTACTACCTTTGTAATCTCATCTCAATGTGCTGATACAATGAAACAAATTAAACCCACGTATATATGTTCCGAATCATACATTTCGTATGACTGGCCTAGTAATCACATTGGCACACTACTCTGACCGAGTTTCCACGTGATCGAAACATCCGTCGTTTCATGGTATTTTATGTGATGTCAAGTCATATGGATATGAAACATCCTCGCATAGCAAAAGTAATAGATGTATTTTAATCTGTACCACAAGTAACAACAGTCTGGTGCGTATTTGACTGCTGGTTGGTAAAATCTACATGCCTAAATATCAGTGCTCTCTCTGTTTGATGGCTACTAAAGCTGTAGCACAATTTTTAATGGTGTGTAATATCACTAACGAATCGATAAGACCATCTTCAAAAAACTCCCGTCTGTGTGGCTGTTTTTACTATATCGTAACATCTCTTATATAAAGAAAACTTATGACTCAGTTGAATATGAAGAGTGGCAAGTTTATGAGATAAAAAAAACTATATCCAGTTAATAAATGTCACTACAATCAGAATCCTGACAAACCCTGTGCCTTATAGCATCAAGGATTACCCGCAGAGGATCTTTCTGAGTATAATATAATGTCGATTCTTATCCCCAAACTTAGGTAAGAATTGACTTAACAGCCGTTATAGTTCTTTTCGTTTTTATCCTTTGCATATTTGTTGATATCAACTTTGTAGAATGTTGTGATTTTACCTGCAAATGATGTAAGTCAAAGGTAAGGAGACTCTTTAATTTAAGGAAGGTGTATATGAAATATTTCTAACCAAGATATTGAGATGCACCAAGGTTAACTGTCATTTGAGGAGAGAGCGAATTTGAAGCGTTTCACTGGTTAGTTGTGAACAGGAACCATTCAGTTTGTCGTAATATGCGATACCAACTTTAAACTTGCGCTTGCTAGCTGAGATCCATATTTCAATATATCGAAGTTCATACGTTAAAAGACTTGTTTATAAATGCAGGTCGACTAATAAAAGCGAATACTGAGAACTTCTGTTAGCATAGTATCTTATTACTAACATTGTAACGTCCTACTAGAGGATTCAAAGACTTAATTTTCCCACCCAGAGAGGACATTTTATTTGACCATGCGCTTTCTTTAAACTGTGGAGCAATACATTGTTTTGGTCGCATTAAGAGGACAACATTAGCCTTAAGTCAATAAACAAAATTACAGTGGTCGACGTCCCCAGTTTAGTTTCACGTAATATGTTATCCTGAATATAAGTTGTATATAGTTGTAACTACCGTTACCAAGGTAAAATATTGTCAAAAAAACAAAGGGATTTTGTGTTTATGTATATTTTTGAGGAATCTCATTCTGTCATTGTCTCATAATGAGTTTTTTGTATGATCTGAAGTGACAACAGAGAAGTAAGCAAAAAAACGAAACGAAAACAAAAGACTTGCATACAAATAAGGAAGGCCAAATTAGAAAATCTCTTTTATGCATTGTAATAATGATAAGAACTAGAACACGATATATTTATAGAAGTTTATGCTCGTGGTTGTATATATTATATGCAGGCAAAGATCTAACTAAGACGAATGGCAAATAAGTCTCCCAGTTTATATATTACACAGAGAAAACAACAATAAGAAACCAATTACAGAATATTATCCAACAGAGGTAGCAAAATAATTCAAGTAACCTAACCTGACATTCATGTAATAACAACAACCATTAGGAATGGCAAATAAGACAAATGAAAGATATGAGATAAACACATTAATATTGTATTCATGTAAAAACAGATACAATTTCATGTGAGCTTATTGAGAATTATGGTGATGGTAGTTTGAACCATTGTACATAATAAAAAACTACTACCAAACATTTTAATTCAGTGATTCAAAGAGAAATAAATAAATAAATAAAGTTATATCGTAAATAGACCATTTTACTTCTTCAATATACAAATTATGAACTATGAAAGTAGCTATGATAGAATATGAATGATGTGGCTGAAATGAATTTAATATAGAATAAATATTAACAAATAGTATAATGTAAGTAGTATGATTGGAAAAGTCCCACTAACAACTAGTCAAAGGTCTTTCATGCACAAGATTTAAATCAGCCAATATGGAAGAAAAATCGGACAAACGCTGATAATCTTCATCTTCTTCTGCGTAATCTAGCAATAAACAAGCATTATTTTTTGATAAATCATTTGTTGTATAACTTAATTTTCGATTATTTCTGTTATTAGTTTCATTCATAAACCGTTGTTCATCTATGTACTCAGACTGAGAAATACATGCTAAATCTACGGAGTTCTGCTTCCAATGAATACAATCTGTTTTCAATGATATTTGATTTGAACTGTCTGCTGAATTTTTAGTTGACGAATGATTACTATCATTATTTAATTGATTCATTAACCAATTAGGCATTTGTGATTTGCATTGTGATAAATTTGATACTTGATAACTGCCAAGTACAGGTGGATCTTTTGCTATCATGTTGTGGGATGATAAGTTTTGGTCAAAAGGATTAGCAGGGCTGAAATGAGAAATAGTAGCACATGATGGTAGGACTGGTCTACAAGGAAGATCTGCGACTGAATGAATGTACGCTGGGGATGGTGACTGGATAAGTCTGCGTTGGTGACACGATTATTTTCGCCCACTTCTGTTTGTGATGATTTGATGTTATAGCTACGAGTTGCTTGGGAATTTCGTTTGATGGGCCATTTGTCAATTGCAGATCAAACTGTGTAAAGATGGGATTAGCAGTATATTGTGGAAGCTTGAGAGGACATGGTAGCATCTCTGGAATGACAGTCAAATGAGTAACGAGAGCTTGTAGGGATGGCCACTCCTTGTCCAAACCCTTTTAAAGATAAATTTTATATAAAAGTAAGCTTTATACATTTATTAATGTAAGCTTATGAATATATGAATAAATCTAACGCTACAAAATAGAGACAAGCATATTTTAAACTAAATGCTTAAACTAGATATCAATGTAAGAAAACCCCATACAAAATGATCAGATTAGCATTGTCTCAATAAAAAAAACTTTTATCAAGTTACGGGTACATGCATAAAACTTTTATTATCATGAATGAATCTAAGTATTGAAAATTTGATTTCTTTATGTAATTGAGTTATAAAGTGAAAAATACATGTATAACAAATGGATATAATAAATTCATTGTGTAAATCAGCAACACCAAACTTTTCAGATATCAGGGATTCTTGAATTCATGAAGAAATTCTTAGTCAGTCAGTCATATGCAACGTAGAACCTGACACATATATGCATATATAATACTATCACTGATATTTCAGTTCTGAGAAAAGTGATTAAAATAAATCTAAGCAATATATTAATAAAACTTCCCCGGGCAAAATTAGTTACACCATTCACTTATTAATGTAAATATAATTTAAAGAGCACTTTCAAAATTAAATTAACGAAAATGATTAAATATAATCCAGACGTTACTCTAAGGAATAGTTAGACTATCAAATAAAAGGCGAAACTCTGTACGATATTTATGTAATGTTATCTAACTATATTACTAACAAGTAACTATTACGTCATAGTATATTTTTTTTCCTAAATAAACGAAAGGAATTCACTGAGCGAATTTACTGAAAACAGATATTTTCACTGAAACAACCCATCTTGTTTATTTTTATCATTCTATGCTTCATTAATTAATCGGAATCGCATTTAAATTAAATTGATTAGTGTAAATAGTATTTGCTCTCACCACCAGTGGTTGACGTCAAAAATGTAAAACTTGATAACTAAATACAATACAAGAAACTCAAACATTACTGATTAGACTCACATGTATAAATTGCAATGAGGTTAAAAGTTTGTCACATTACTTGAGTGTAAACTATTTCGATAAGATAGATTCAAATATGAAAGAGGCTAATTAAATACTTTAAAATAGTTCAAAATTCACCACAAATGCATGCTACTGAGCACATATTAATCTATAATTAGCCCCTTGGTTAAATGACTATATTTTCTTAGGTTAACACTGATTTCTAATTTCAAACAATCTTAACTCATTAACATATACATTAAGAGATGCTATTGATCTGTAAATCTTAAAGAAGTACACCCAGAAGGTATGTGCAATGTGGATACCATTTCAAGATTTCCCTAAATAATTAGACTGAAGAAACGTTGCACGGTTTTTCGTCTATTATTTCAAAATATAGCCACTCTTATAATAACATTTGAAAGGATCACTGACAAAATATGGAACATTGTATTGCTACCTGAAAGTGCGAAAAACATTCGAAAGACAATGAATCTTCCAAATATACTCAACCAATACTTATTGGTATGTATGTCCATTGAATCACATTAATAAGAAAACCGACTATTAATAATTCATTACTTGTAATAGAAGTGGGTTTTATTGATGGATGAAACGCAAATATGAATAGAATAACAGCTAGTAAACTGGGACATCATAGAAAAACAATGTTTTAAAAAGTATCAACGCTACTGAAAAATATGAACAATTAAGATATACACTAGGAAAAAATATCTGACCTTTAACCGAACGCCTCGATTCGTTTTTTGTATCAAGTAATGGGTTATTCCTATAGGATTATCCTTATTTGGTACTCGAACAGATAAAGCACAACAACCAGGATGAGTAGCGCTGTTGCGAACTAAAAAGCTGCCAACCTGAAAAGGAAGAAAAAACACATTAGGGGGAAAATTAAAGGAATTAAATGTTACATTAGTTTATTTCTACTTACTTAGAGAATAAAATCTAATACAAATAAAAAACCAAGAGATAAATTAAAACAACATACATATACCAGTAAACGAAATAATAATATCTATACTTATTAGGGAGATAACCATTTTTTTTCACTGTATCAGATAATAACATCAGTTTACTATAATTCATCTAAAATGTTCGATTGTACTGATATATCTCAGTTATAAGGAATTATTTTTTATTCCACAGAGCTATTATGTAAAGCGGTCACCTTTTCATTAATTGAAAGGAAGTCATTGCTCTTAGTCAGTCTACAATGAATTTACGAACAAACATAAACTGTAAAATCTTTTCAGTTGAGACCACACAAATTTGCAGAATATCGTAGTTAATGTATAAACTGTTAAACAAATTAATCAATGGCTTTAGAACGGGGGAGAATGAATCAAACAGGTGTGTGATTATGTTCTTTAACTCTATACAAGTAAACATACAGTTAGCCTTACAATATTACGTAGGTACAAATGATTGTGTGCATATACATTTTGTATCAAGACAAATTATACATGTATATATGGTTATTACTGACAGTCGTCGTTATTCGGATTCTTTCGGTCACTAAAATCTATTACCTAACATTATATCATATTCTAATGTTAATACGAACACTATTATAAGCAAATGAAAAGAAATTATGAAATATAATGAATTCATACTATTCAGCCTCAATGAACGTTTTGGCTTTATTCAAAAGGAACTAACTGTATGGAATAATTCATGAAAACATTTAGTTAAAAATAAAATATATATTATTCAGTATACTTAATATTTTTCAAATAATGTGATACTTTATTATCCTTAACCGAGAAAAAAATCGATACCTCTTCTTTAGCGAGTAATTCAAATGCTATTTCTCTGGGTAGCATAGCTTGAAACCAAGGCGCTTGATTTAAAGAATTATCACTATCACCAGCATTTTTATTACATCCCTGAAACTGAGAGGTTTGTTCAGGAGTTGGTGTAGGAGTGGCAGTTGGTGTTGGAGTCTCTGTTGAAAGTGATGACGTCGACATTATCGATCCTGGTGTAGGCATAACACGAACATTGCTAGATACGGTTGAAGGAAATAGTTGCTTTCTATGTGTATCTTGAAATGTTGTATCGGCCAAAACTTGGAGTGGATCATGTAAAGAAGAACTAACAAAATTCATATCAGGTGTATATGAATGAGGTTTTTCTTGTTGGGTATCACTTCGATTGAGTTCAATAAGTTGTTCAAAAGGATACTGTGGTTGAGGTTGAGAGCCCATATTACCAAGAAGATGAGAGTTTCCAGAAGAGACGTGTATATTTCCATGAAATTCTGATGATCTAGTACTATTTTGAGTTTGCTTGTAAACACTAAGTTGGGAAATCCTAATAAACCGATGAATACAACCACATAGTTAACATAAGAACTAATATAGTCGACAAAGTTTGTATATTATATATTAAAATATTAATCGATACTATAACAAAAAAGTATTTAGTGTTAAGAAGACAGAACATTTATAAAGTTATGTATGAAGTATGTAAGAGACCAAATATAGAAATGAGAGAATGAAAACAATTGACCTAAGAGTTCATTCTAAAAAAGGACTATTGAAATATTCCATAAAAGATATGAATTTATAACTGGATTTCTATGTGATTCTTAAATCTCTAATTTATAAATAAAGAAGCTAATTTGATTAACAAAAGTTTAAACTGAAAAATAATGTTTGGAAATACTACGGGAACTATTCAATGCTATTCGCACAAGCTGAAAACAGTAATAAATAATTGGAACGAAAAATCACAATATCACGCACCTTTGTCCCGTGTCAAATTTTGCACGATCATCTCAATTTCGAAAAACACTAGGTGGCCAGGATCAATGTTCGATTTAAGTATAAGCAGAGTGTTAGACAACTGAAATTAAGTTGTAGATATATCGAGCTGTTCGCTAAACTAATTAACTAAACATTCCCGTTTAATATGCTGTTTCTCATCAACTTGTTTCGTACTTGTACTGGTAATCGTCCACTTTGTTTTTGAGATCACAATATGGAAAACTTGAACAAATGACATCACAGAACTTTGTAAAAAATATACTTTTAATTCGTAATACCAATAATTTACAACTAGGGAACAATTCATCACATAGATGAAATAGTTATCGACCCTAAAATAATATGACAAAAGAGGTAATAATAATTTTAGGGGAGAAATAAAAATGCAGTATTACCTTGAACCATCTATATATTGCTGCTTGAAATCCTTTGAATGACAAGGTACATCAGGGACATCAACCAATAAAGTAGTGTTACGATATGAAGTAATGTTGGAAGGATTGCATTCTGTATTTTGATGCTTTGGTTTTGTTTCTTTTGGACTATTTGAATCATATGATGCTGCTTTCATAACAGCTTCGATTGACTCTACAATTTCACGATCTTCGTCTTTATCTAATTCATTAAATAAGTCTTCAGGTACAGGACTGGAAGTTGATAAATGAGGTGAAAAATTCTTTGAGTTATACTGTTCATGACTCCTCCTGAGTGAATGCATTCTTAAAATAAATTAAATAAAATTAGAAGAGTAATTTAAAGTTTAATACGTATACTAACTAATTATAAAACAATTATTCACCAAAAATATGGACTATTCTGAAACTAAAATAAGACAGGCATTTTATGAACTCCTAAGAAAACTATATCTACTGTAGAAATATATAGTTTTATTGAAACCAAATTATACTAATTTGAAGTTGAAATACCTTTCAAGTAATCCATTAAAAACGCATACATTACACATTGTATACATGTGGGCTAAGTAAACATTTTAAATTATTTACTAATAAACAGTTGTTACTGCATTGACTATAATGCACTTATGCATAAATATCATGCAAACTGATATTCGGATTAAAAAACAGTCAGTTACAACGTGAAGCCTAGTACGTCAGTCAGTAACAATGTAGAACTTCGTACGTACGTACATCAGTTCGACCTGCCACACCACATTAGCACGGAGATGCAGTGGTCGATTCAAATCCCGTAGTGCTAGATGTAGTAAAATTATAAGCTGTAATCAGAAAAATTAGGGTTTGAAGATGTTATTCAAGCAGTATAATCCAGTGAAATAAATTTGGAAAGAGAAAAAGAAAGGGACATGAAGAAATCAGAAGATTAGAATTTGGGAGAACACAAAGAGTGGATGCACCTGCGCCTAGTACGTATGTACATGGGTTTAGGTTTTTATAATCCATTAACACAGAAAAATGAAACTGTCAGGTCAAATCCCAGAATAGTAGAAGTAGTAACAATATCGGTAGTAACAGGAAAGATTAGGCAATGAGGACTCTACTCGAGAAAATATAAATTAGTGAAATAAAAACAAAAAACTTATGAGGAACTTAGAATCTCAGAATGTCGGGGGAAGACAAGGGAAGATGACTAGTTAATTAATTGGTAAAAACAAGTCATTTACTTTTTGCTCAAATGACATAAAAAACAATTTACAATAAAAAATTGCAAAATTTGCTTAATTATTGAAAAAAATGGCATTTCATGTTTCGGGACAACAAAAGCATGTGAAATTAATTTCCACCATAAAACGATATCATGAAAAACTAGGGGAACAGACTTTGAAGTATGAATCCTAAGAGTGTTATACCTTGTAAAGAATAAGTGTGCGTACTTATAATGAGATACTTAAAGGTATCGTATATATTTCAATAATACAAGTTATTGAAATGATGTTATCTAGGAAGACAATAATGGTTACACAAACTATCTACTCCATAGGATGCAGCACCTCCAAATTTACAATGTGTTATGTTCATGTATGTAAGTCAAGAGATGAATCCATGAAATATATGTCGATTTTGTGTTCAGACTGAATTAACAGTGTAATTCAAGGATACACAAGATGTCGAGGAAAAAGTAACATAAATCGACATAAACGTAAGAAAGAGAGAGAGAATTTACACAATTATAACCCCCCTTTCCACAATTAATCACTACGATTGTAGTAATAACGCAATAATATACGATGTATAAGAAAGAAAAACAGATTTATGTAATGTATCCCAGACATAAAATTAGCATAATATTAACATACATGAAATAAAAACTCTGTAAACAATCTAATATTTAAATGCTTATGGAAAGAAAGAGAGAAGTAAAATTATTATTTCCTAGTTATGCTCATTATGCAGATTATAGTGGTAATTTTTTCAAAAAAAACTACAAGTTCATTCAGACAACATAATACTCTTAATTCATTAACACCTGACTGTAACAGAAAAGGGGGAGAGAACTAACTGATATGAACAAGAAACGCCTAATTTAGGCGGATACCTAAAATACTACTTATAACTAAATGTGTATTAGTCAGTGGTTTTTTATTGAACAGCATAACTTTAAAAAAGACAAACGGATAGCTAAGAAATACCCTTATTTTAATGTGAATTATGACATAGAGTTAACAGGTTTTCCTCATTACATAACACACACTACGTGAAATTCTACCTAACACGTTTATCAATAACTGACTATTTAGGAATATCTGTATTTATATTAATCCTTTTCGATGGATCTGTCATGAGAATTAATCCATCAAAATCTCTTCCAATGATGGATTTATCTATACTAATAAAACTATCACATAACAATTAACCATAGTTTTGTAGTGTATCCCTTTTACTACATAAACAGAGGTGTGAACAAATATGATTCATACGTAAAAATATTTACTGGAAACTTAGACTACATACATTTGCTTTCGAAAGATTATCTTAGAAAAAAACAGTACTTATACCGAAGTTTGTGAAATCTAATAACTCTATATGATCACATTAAGACTATTTTTACAGTCAGGATCATCGGATCCTCAGATTACTAGACTATTCGATAACATAGACCGTAAACAAAATTAGTTTTTCTTTACCAGAACGTTGGAACATGAGATATGAGTGAATTCTAAATTCCCTTTATGTTAAAAGCAATCTTCGAATATATAATGACTTCAACAGAAGAACAATATGTCATAAGTGATGCGAGGGTAAACCCTGTACAGCCTGTAAAAACGAAATTTGCATAAATGTAAACATTAACAGTCTTTATTGATAAAACATTATAATTTGTATGGTGATTCCTTTTACATCTTTTTAAATTCCTTATAACTTTATTAGTTGTAAAGTGTGACATGCTGAATAAAGAAAATATTATACCCAGTTATGAAATCTATATTTATTTGTCTATCTGTTTATCTTTTTCGCTGTCAAAACAGTAAATCATAAAATACAGTATACATGAAAATGAATGCTTAATATAGAAATTATGATTCACTTATTATTAAAGCAAACAGTATAAACAAATGCTCTTTCTAAAGTTTCTTTTTTTAGGTTCCAATATTGGCAATACATTAATTTAAATAAAACAAATGCTACAAACAGTATGTTTTTCTTTAAAAAAGAAAGATTTATCACTTACAAAGGAAATAGATTGGATTTATTTAATATACACTGGAGAATATCGATTTACTTTTTATTCTGTGAACAGTAAAAAGACTGATGGAAAGAAAATTTATTGTTTAGAAAATAAATTATTTTAACAGATCCTAATAAGTCCACAATTGATAAAAGATGAAAACATAAAGTAATTTTTAATCCCTGAGAGTGATCTAAAAGGGCGGGCTGCTTGAGCATCTGGGCTACCTGTTCCTGCCATTTAGATATTTCAACAAGTTATCTATTTTTGTTTGTTTCAATATATCGTTATGTCTATTAATCGCATAACCTATTCTGCTGAGTTTACAACCTTTCGTTGTCAAAGTTACAAAAAACTCAATAAGAGACAATGTGGTTGCTGGCAATATACAACGAAAAGAATGCACATTATTCAGATGTTCATTCAGTGAACTGCTAACATCTAATAGGCAAATTTCGACGCCAAAGAAAGAAACGGAAACTTGTTGAAATACTTTGCGCTGAGAATTCTATATTGTAACAAAAATATAATATTGAATAAAGCTAATAATAATAATAATAATAATAATAATTCAATGCACATGGAATTAAGTAAGTCAAGCAATATTCTAACACAACTAGGTAGCTAATTTAAAAAAAAAAGGTTTCTACGCTAGAAAACAGACTAAACAATTTGAATGAATGAAAATCTAACACTTTTCGCATGTGTATCATTAATGGTTAGTGATAGTAATTTTAAGAAAGAGTAAATATAGCAATAAATCTTGACAGTTTCTTAGCTGTAGAATTCTTGAAAATGTGTTCATGGAAGCTCTGATTTGTAAGAATTAAGAACAACTAGAATGCAAAGTGATAAAACATTCATGTTATGATCACGGGTTGTAATGGATCGAGAAAGTAAATGAGAGGAGAACAATAACAATAGATATTTGTTTAATACTATCAATGAGATAGTTGAAAACGCTGAGAGTCAGCAGAAGATAGGTTTACTCTCAGATCTGGCTAATCGACTGAGAGTACTTTGAACGATAATTTAAATCAGATGTAAATACTCTTCATTTGTCAACTAACAACCAGGATATGGAATGGGGCATGAAAAAATGAAGTCACATAAAAAAATAACAATAGTCGAAAATAGTATAATGCTACTCTATAGGGAAAGTAGAATTACCGGTAAGAAATCAGAAGAAAGTAGTGATTAGTTTCGTATGTATGTATTGCACTTAAGGCGCACAAATAATAACGAATACACTCTTTCCTCTCATATAAATTTATATGTACGTAATTATTTGTAGACTGCACGCATTCTTAGTATTAAATATCAGACGTTTCGTGGAGAAATATATTTTAAGGAAAAAAAGTTCAATCTTGGACTGATTCCCCTCACATGGTAACAATAAACCGTCTTTCACCTTTTTATACGAAAATGATTGACGACATAATTGCATCTAACCACTCCTGAATAGCTGTAAACAAATACACAAAGATGGATAGACGATAAAAATGATCTGTTCCCAGAAAACTGTACAAGTGCGCATGTGTATACAATAAAATAGGTGTGTTTATCTATCGCATAAGTTACCAGTCTGGTTAGTGTGGTGAATTGATTTCTTTAGCATTTTATTTTCCTCCCAAAAAAAACTCAAAACAAATACATAAATATATGATATGATGTATAAATATTTACCGTCTCGCAATATGATTTATCAAAAGCTTCTAAAGAGCCTTTGAAAAGAATAAAATGAAGACCGAACAATCGAGAAACAATATTTGTAGGGCATTAAAGTCTTGTACGCAGTGTATTACAATAAACCGATGATTATCAAAAAAAGAAACAGTACTAATTAATGATCATTGACTTAGGGTATGCTATGGAATGTGAGAGAAGTTGAAGTAGTAACTAGGATCTTATCTTTTGTACTCCCTTATTCAAAAAATCATTATGCTTGTCTGGTTTGATATTTTGACTCGTTGACATACTCTGACAGTTAGTTGAAGTTATAGTTAGATCCTTTGACTTAGTGTATAGTCTTGTTAACATCTTACCGAGTCTTGTTCAGTATAATCTAAACAGGAATAAAAATCTCATACATTGACTTTTGAATTAAAACATTTATCTTGCTTTGTAAAAGGAATTACCCTCTATTTCATAAACATATCGTATATATCTACTATTGAGCTTTTCAGATTTAAATTGATTTTGAACACCTAAAAACTCGATTCTAGACATTCTTAAATTTGAATCTTATGTTCTAATAGTTGTGCATTAGAATGTAGGTACCAAATCATTTAGTGAATTTGAATATGTTGACAATTCCACAACTAGAAATTGTGTTTGAAGTATAATTCAAAACTTGTAATACGGCAAGTTGAAGCTGAAACAGTGATAAAGAATTGTTATTACATTGTAAAGTTATTAAGGTGTGCACTATAGCTGTAAGACTGATGATTTTAAAATGTATTGAGAATCGAATGGACATAAGCTCATTACTGAGATTAACGAAAGGTAGTTTGAATATACCTTATTCATCATAATTATACTTATGACGATGACGATACCAAAGCAAATAAACTGCTAATTTCTGTAGTCAAAAAATTAAAGAAATGTGGTAATATCTAAACAATGTTTTGAAAGTGTATATTTTAATTAAAAGTGTATCAGCTAACCACACTGTATTATTGCGCATCATCTATCATCAAGCAAAATGTGTTCATAACAAATCATAAAACAATCGTTTATGACAATTAACGAGACATTTCAGTTCACTTGAGTACATGTTGACCGAAGTCAGATACCGTCTATTTTTTTGGCAAAAAATTCATAAATAAATTTTGTTGTCTGGATGCATTGTTGTATATGGGAAGTCTTCGAATAAACTTGTCAACGATTAATTAATGGTAGAAATCAAACGCTTTTTGCGTGAAAAGAAGAGTATTTTTAACAGTATAGCAATATGGATAAGATCCTGAGGATGGACTGAGTGAAATTAAACAAAAAGGAAATATGATCTGATAGTTTGGAATCGGAGAAAAAAAGTGTTTCACTAGTTATGTACTCAAACATTCCAGAATGTACTGTCTTCCTTTGTTTATAAAGAGAAAAGAATTAGTTTACATAATCTAAGCAAAAATCTAAGTAAGCTGACAATTTTGAGTAAGGAAATACAGTATCAACGTACCTGACTGGTGGTATAGGTGGAGATAAATCGGAAGTTTCTACCGATGATGAATTTCCACTGGATGACGAGTTCGGAGTACGACTGGTAATAGGACACATTGTTGGTTTAGTCAGCTGTTCTACATTTTTTGAGGTATTGTTCGTGACTGGCTGCAAAGGAGCTAAGGACCTGGATGACACCTGTTTTGCAGCTGCAAGGACAGCCGCAGCCTCGGCAAAAGCAGATGCCTTAGCATCTGCAATAGCTTGAGCATCCAAACGTTCTTTTAGTGCAACAACTGGACTTCCTCCGGCAAAAGTACGGAGATCCACAAATATAGGTGGTCTGCGAGTGGGGTTAGGAGTGTTCAATATATCAGACACATCCGGAGTTTCTTGTGACTGTGAAGTTTTGGGGAGGATATTTGTACTGTCAATAACACAACTAGAAGAGCTTGGAAAAAATGAGCTATGCCGTGCAGACGACAGGAGATTTGAGAGAGTTGAACCTTGGCGTAAGCGGGGTTGCCTGGCACTACCACCACAGACATTTTTGGGGTTTTCAGATCCTTTGCCCTCACTTCGTCGAAGAAAATGACGACGTAAGAACGCCAAATCTATGGCTTGTGGAGTCGAAATGCGGTGAAGTCTACCAAAGTAAAATATATCGGTTAGAGATTAATAAAACCATACAGTAAAAGAATTTTAACGTGTGATTTACCACTAGTTCGCAAAAGATTTAATTTGTTATCAATCAACCTTTTCTATACAGAAAACTTATCGATGTATAACAAAATATGAGTCTTCAAATCTGAAATATAACTGATAGTAGACAGTTACATTTGCTAATGATTAAAAGCGGTTAGGCAGTATATGCATCAGGCAGTAATTCGGGTAATGATATGATGACTAACAAATTAACGAACTGATTTAAACTAGAGAAACACTGAAAGATAGGTATCATTGGATAACTATTTTGTTTTAGTTTGGAATTATTAAGACGTATGCGTCCACAACATCATCAGCACCATTAGGTATCAAGATCACTGAATTGAAAGCCAATGGTCTACATTTTCAGTCTATCTTATGCAGTGAAAGACGTCGAGTGATACCAAAAAATTAGGAAAAAGAAACTTAGTGATTATAACGGTCGAAATAACAGACAGTAAGATAACATTTGCTTAAGTACATCAAAAAGTTCTGTGGTCTACTGTGAAGCTGATGTCAATCTTTTTCTCACACATCTAGCGTAATGTGCGTTAAAAGTAGTATATAGCAGGAGTCGGAAGTGGGATGCCTGCCAGTAGAAAACTGAAATAAAAAGAGGGAGGAAAACAGAGAGAAATCGAAATAACAGGATTGCGAGAATGAGTATGAGTATGTAAAGGACAACTGAAGGAAGATGTGCAAATGATGTATTTAATATATGATTTTAATATTTTGCAAAGGCACTGTGTGATGTTGCATAAAACAATCGATTGGTTTTCCTCACCAATTCCTCTTTCACTACACTAGTTGGCACAGCAATGTTTAGTCTAACTTAAACGTTTGATTTCCCCTTCCGAAAGTTGTAAACAAACTAGCAAAAGTAAGTGATATAAGCTATAGAATAAAAATCGATATAACATATTAAGTAAAAAAACTTTATCATTTTGTTTATATATTATAAGAGAAATTTATCATCTGGAGATATAATATGATCCAATTGAATGGTTAAAATGATTTTAAGTAATCTTACTAGAAACCTCTACCCTTTTTGATGATCTAAACTTGCATGAACTTTCAAAACATCTTTGTAAAATTTCTGATATAAAATCAAACGATCCCATTGAAAATGAAAATTGAATGATATGATCTAGTTGGTATGTGTAATCATTTTAATAATCCAAAGTTATATGATACATTGAGTGTAATGTTTCTGTTTTTTAAGGATACTATGTTGAAAGATGAAAAATGTACTGCTTAAATAGACGTTTTGGACATACTACTAACACAATGTCTCAATTTAAAACTATGTCGTTTATTAAAAATATTCTCAAGTCAGCTGGCTTGCTAGTACAACTTGAAATAATAAATCCCACGTTTACGAAGCGAAACACTTTTTGTTTAGTAGCGATACAATATGAAACAGGATGATACCAAGCAACCGACCACGCTGTTGTTACAAGATCAGGCTTATGTAAATCAAAAACAGATATAGAAATTATCATAATAAAATTATTATTTCCTGCGAAATATCAGTAAAACATTAGATATGTTCTTAATTCATATACAAACGGCGACATAAGATCGTGAACGAGACTAGTTTCTCTGCAAAGAATGCCTTAAAATTAAGTTATATATATATTCACGTTTCGTGTTCTACTATTATAAAATAGTGTATACACAAGAAGCAATAAAATACAATATGATTTATGAAATAATTCCCATGAATATTATCATAAACTGAAACCTCTCTGAACTATGATGGCAACTAGTAGATAACCTTTAATTCTATTAATTCATTCATCGACAATGAATCACCATTTGTACAGGAAAACACTTGTTTCGAATATCCATATATAAAGGTCAGTGACTTCTCTCCACCAACACAAAGATATATATATATATATATATATATATATATATATATATATATATATATAAACATAAATGCAAACAAATAATCAAAACAATGGACTATTGTTACTAATTTTGATACGAAAATTTACTCACTTTTTCTCCAGTTCACTAGCATCTTTATTAGACTGACTGTTATTGTTTAGTCCTTTATCTCTGACTAGTACAGAATCTGAATGAACAGAAAGTTGGTTAGGATCGTTATCTGACGAAGAGGATGAAGTTGTTGGATTTTCTACTGTCACAGGTAAAGATTCATGCTTAATAATGCCTTTTTTGTACATATTTACAGTAGATGATTCGAGTGAATCATGGCAGAAAGTAGACATAATAGTGCTAGTACTAGCGACAGGATCATCACATGTTGAAATAACATCTGTATTGGTGTAATGGGTGCCAGGAGACGACAGATTAGTTTGCCGTTCGGCTGTAGTTCCATTTTCGATTGAAACGGGGGGAGGGAACTCTGGAGGTGGGGGGAGTTTAAGAGTGCTTAACAAAGAAAGACTGTTGGGATTTCGTTCAGTTTGAGGAAGCCAAACAGGATGACAATCGCTAAGTTGAGGTATATTTACTGGAGTGGAAAAATCATGTTTTCCAGCTTGATGAAGCTTAATAAGGCGCTGTCGAACATAGGCAAATTTGAAGGCGTTTCCAATCAGCCGATTTAATTCTTCCGCCTGTTTAAAAAACAATAAATACATCGCACAACAATCAATTCCATTGAACTCTGAGAATAATTAGTTGAGTCAGTATTTAATGCCTAATGAAAATAATGGAAGTATATCTAAGTCTGTTAAATGAAATGATACTGAAATCCAGTCAAACATTTAGATAAAAAATATAATATAAAGTTATTGGACAGTAAACAATCTAGTAGTGTACTGGCTACTATTGTTCAGCGATATCATTGCTTAACTAAGATGCATTATATAATTATTACGTGCACTTATGAACAAAAATGAAAAATTCATAAGTTATTGAAACTAAAATCTGGTTTTGATCAAAATTTTACTAACAAGCAATCATTAAATAATGTAGGGGAAAGTTATCTTAGTGAAAAAAATGGAAAAATAAAGCCGGTTGCAAAATAACGGAATTTTTACACTGTCGGACCACTTTTAGAATACACATCAAACTAACGAAGATACTTAAAAAAGCACCTCACATTTGTAATATTAAGCCGGTGTAAGATGTAACTTTGAGAAACTGTGTAACTATAATTGCCGAGTAAGTAACATTTTAGTTTTTTTAATTATTTGTTCAAGCATTTAACACAGTAATAAGAATATCACAGATTTATATGATATTAAAACAACTTTTGTGAATGGATATCCAACTTATCTGGTCACTAATTAATCATTTTGTTTTCTGAAATTTTTCCTCATTAAAAGCATCTAGATAATGTGAATCTATTATCACAGTGCTCGATATTTGAATTTGAACACAGTATCAAAATCATAGAAAGCTAGGGGTTAGACTGAATAAATGTGACCCATATAGTAGTCAGATTCTACATTTTGTAAATATACATTAATCAATCGATTACCAGGGTCTGAATATTTTCACAGTGGGATATAGTTAATGGCATTTTAAAGCACAAAATAAACTGTTGAATTTATTACTTTCATAACAAATAATTTCCGTGTACGCCAAAAAGATCGGTTATCTGTATTTGTCCAATCTATAAGATTCCTAGTAAATTAAAATAACGGATAATATGCATGTCTGCAAGAAAATATGATTACCGATTTAGGCAGTCATAAGTTGAGAAATTAATTAAGGCTATGATGAGAGACATGAAGGAAAACTGAGGCAGACTGTGCACTGCAATATAATGAATGATATCTAAGTGGAACATAATCGACAGAAAAAACCTTTTCATACCAAGCGAAATAAACAACCTTATTGACTGACTCTAAACAGAACCAGTAACAAATATTAGAACAAGAAACGGACTCTTTATGTATAGTCAACAGGTTGTTGATTAATTTCCCGACAGTAGTGGGTTAAATACGTTGATATGTATTTTGAAATCGATTTCAGGAGTATTCCGCGACAAAAACGCACAGTTTCGTTCGATTTTTATTGACATCAAATACTATAGATACATATGTTTCTAAGCAAGACTAAAAAGTTTTGTGTTTGTATGATGTAACAAAGAAAAAATACTTTTGTAGATAGAACAGATATCTGATGTAGCACACTAGAAATCAAAAGCAACTTAATTAACATAAATGGTTGATGAGTCATTTACAATGAAAAATAGTTTAAAAAACTGATCATCAAGATATAAACCAAAAAGCAGTTTACAGTCTATACTATTTTTTAACGAATATGAAAAGTAGATGATTGATAAGAATGGGATTGTAATAATATATATATATATATATATCACAGTTTCGAGACAAATTGGAAATAAACTATTCTTGTCACATGCAGGGATGGGAAATTGGTGACGATGCAGATTCTAGAAAAATAGCAAACAAAATATTTAAATTTCACAAAAGCACAAGAAAACTGAGTCAAAGAGGAACAGAACATAATAACAGAACATTCAAGACTTGAAGATAAAAAATGCATACAACAAGGTCTTCGACTCTTTCTACGGAGATCAAGTTTTTCTGCACTGACAAGAACAACATGTTTACACAATCTTTAGTGAACAATAGATAGTAAATATATGAGGCAATAAATATATCCGTAGTAAAAGCTATTTGTGTAAATGCCAATTAAAATCTTGGTTGAAAATAACGAATAAAAGGGAGGAAAATGCCAAAAAAGATAACTAAAAGTCTCACACAAACACTCGTTCACTAAATAAAGGTGGGACATATTATGGAGCATACTATCTGGGCGGGTTACAAACTTATATTCCAAGAATAAAAGATGGAAACGTCGAATTACTTCCTATTTTTGATTGGATAAAATGAGGTAGTGATTCTGGAATTTTCTAAATTGGGTTCAAAAATAATTAATACCGAAAGTGATAGATGTAGTTACCTTCAGAAACTCCGGTCAGCTGGATCGGTCTTAAACATGAAACAAAGGAAAATGGTATTCAAACAATGTTCACCGACGCTGTAGCTGACTGACAACTGCTACCAAAACATTCCCTGTCTTAACTAATTGGCTGAATGTCCTTATGAGGTCTGTTATCATGACAATTACATTGAAGTTATACAGCTGTTTTCTTGCTGCTTTAAATTAACAGTGAGCTTAAGGCAGAACATCAGATGTAGGGATTCCTCAATTTTCCATTAACGATCAGATGCTCAAAAGGACATGGTGGTTATATAAACTTAGTATCTGAAGGACGACTTGAAGTATGTAGTAAATGGTCTAACCATAATCATTCATCGAACAGTGTCCACGAGGCCAGTGAATAAATCAACAAAACTGTCAGGGATCTGTACTTATACTTACTCTTCGTTGTAAACAACTGGAAACAGTCGACAAACTTGCGTATCTGGACAACTGTGTAGGACCTGATGTGGCACACGAGACCAATATACGTATTGTGAAAGAAAAGGGTGGCTTATTTCGACATGACCCACTTTGGCAGTATATTGTTGTATTGGCTGCAAAACCTCATATACAACACACTCATAAGTTTTGTTTGATGCATGCTTAGAGTGAACCCTTTAAAGTGACAACGTTAAGCGTTGTTGTTTACAAAGAACTGCTTGTATTCTATGTTATTTTTTTATTTTAAACACATAGATATTGGTGCAAGGAGGCACCAAATGCATATGTGCCACACAAATCTCATTTGATATGTGTGAGGGCTGTGATACTGCCCGGGTGCATCCCGACCGTTGTTGCTACCTTGACGTGGTGGTCGGGCTTGCCTATCGTGATGAAGCAACCGAGCTATACTGGCTGGAACAACCGTTCCTCAAGGTCCTACCATGTCAGACAGGTCGGTTGAAGAGCGGTTTGTCTAAAAGCAACAAACCCAAGGTCCGAAGGCGAAGTCGTACTGCTGACTGTACAGAGGTGTGACAGCAGTAAGGTGTTTCCTTCAGACAACCAGCATGACAGCGATGCTGCCTTCCCACAAGGAGGGGTGGGGTTAGAAAAGGTCGACCCTAAAAATGCACACCTCACCTTACCTCACAGATTTCCGTCTCCGGCGGTAAGGCCCTTTGAAGAACGGAGCTAACACGTCACAAACCTCTCACGAAAAGGCCGTGCGCGACCGGCCTCGAGCAGTTGTTCCTTGGGCACTGCGGTCACGCTCTCAGGTCACTGAGACCGCCTCTAATCCGATTTCCTTTTCAGGTACCTCCAGAACAACCCTTCCACGGTGTGGGCAACCGGGAAGTGATAACCACCCTCATACTTCTGACAGCACTCAAGACCACTGTATTCATAATCAACCTTCCTCTTCAATTTCTATTATTCCTCCTACATCGACTTTCAACCCTAAACTTCCTCCTCAAGTGTCACCATAGACAACGATTCTAGGGCTCAAAACACTGTCCCAGGTCTACTGAAACCTCGCTCCAAACTACACATTGGAGCCTTCAACGTACGCACCCTATGTCAAATCGGTCAGCAGGCTTCCTTGGCTAAAACCCTAGAGTCTCCTTCCATTGATGTATGCTGTGTCTCCGAAACACGCATACAGGATTCCAGTGTGGTCATTCACTTGACCTCACCTCGGCAAGACGGAGAGCCAACGAGATACACCCTTCGTGTGTCTGGTGACCCGATGGCAAGTTCTCGTGGACTGGCAGGTGTAGGCATAGCACTAAGCATGAAGGCGGAACAAGCACTGCTAGAGTGGATCCCCGTCAACAGTCGTCTATGTGCTGTTCGGCTAAACGGCTCCGTAAGAACTCGGAAGGATAGGGACACGCGTCGTTGCCTTTTCGTCGTTTCTGCCTACGCTCCCACTGACTGCAGCTCAGATGAAGTGAAAGATGAATTTTACAGAAAGCTGTCCGAACTTCTTCAGAAAGCTAAACGCTCAGACATAGTACTCGTAGCAGGTGATTTTAATGCTCAGATAGGCAGTTTAAACCAAACAGAAAGGCATTTAGGTGGATATTTTAGTATTCCGACACAGCGAACAGATAATGGTGACCGTCTGCTGCAACTGTGCTCAGACAATCGTTTATTTTTAGCAAACGTATGCCTGAACACCGATTACCGCGACGTGCAATGCTAACCGGTGTAGGGATGGTTGGAAGAAAGTTAGGGGCGGCCAAACCAAAACGTGGCATCAGTGCCTGAAGTCACTAACTTCTAGTCTGAGCCATGTTGGTAGATGCAGACTACTTGGTTGGGGTCCGCGTGACTTTCGTAACCAATGGTTGGAGACCCTTGGTGACATGGCTCAGAATCGATCACAATGGCGTCGGTGTATACACTCTCTGTCTTCTCTTAAACTAAGAGATTAAGATCACTTCACATCTTTCTTTCTACGAACTAATTCTTTCTTCCTATACTATATCCTTATTGCAATCTTTCTCCTATATATTACCACCTTTGACCTAACCACTCCTATGAATCCAGTGTTCATCTTGCTGTGCTAATGAGGTATGGCAACCTGGGCCGATGCATACATGTGCCTGGTCCTACGTTGTAGCTGACTGACTGACTGACTGAAACACAAATTTTAAGCATAAGGAGAGACATCGTCTAACATGGCGACCCCCTACACCAAACCAAC